ATTTTAATTAGTTATGAGGAAACAAGTAATTTTTTTTTTTAGCACAATCTGAAATACTTCCATTTATCAAAATTGTTTGAGGGTCAACAAGATGTCTCGGCAGGGAAAGGTGCTTGTTGCCAAGTCTGACATCTGGCATCCTGTCCCCATTATCCACAGCGCATGAGGAGAGAATCAACTCCCTCGGGCTGTCTTCTGACCTCTACATGTGTGTCGTGGCACATCTATGTGTGAACATACAAACAAATAAATGTGGGGAAAAAACTTAGCATGCAATTCAGAATAAAAGAAAAAAAAACTCTCAAAGATAATTTAACCACAACAATGACAAAAATAGTCAGTGGTGGTCACGAGACATGGATATTGCAAATTAGTTTCATTGTATAAAGATATTTTTATTCATGGCTTATAATAAAAACAACCAATGAATTTTAAAATTATCCTAGACACTGAACATTAAAAAGCTTAGTTCATTTAAAAATACATGAATTATTTTCATTCCAACCCCCCCAAAGTGTGGTACTTCACTGTTCTAAAAATACTACACATTCAAATAAACTGTAATTATGAATACATATAGCTTCTCACAGTTAGAAGTGCAAAAATGGATTGTGCTAAATAAAATGCATGTTACTGCAATATTTAAGCATGCTCTAAAGTAAATCATTATTATAAGTAGGCATGTAATTACTATGGCTTTGGGAGGCTTCACTAGGAACCGAAGCACAAAAAGAATAAAATTTCAGCACCTCTTGACCAACATACAATGAACAGATATCCACCACAGCTCAGGTCTCCTCCCTTCTCATTTAAGGGGAATGAAAAACTCAGAAAGAGCACAGGCTAGAAGAAAGGGTATTAAAAAAAGAGTCTAGAGCCGGGCGGTGGTGGCGCACGCCTTTAATCCCAGCACTCGGGAGGCAGAGCCAGGCGGATCTCTGTGAGTTCGAGGCCAGCCTGGGCTACCAAGTGAGTTCCAGGAAAGGCGCAAAGCTACACAAGAGAAACCCTGTCTCGAAAAACCAAAAAAAAAAAAAAAGAGTCTAGAGAGAAGGAAGTCTTCCTGGCAATGTAAAGCCCAATAAAACATCATCATTTTTACTGGGGAAGCAGTGACTTTCAGTGTCAGGTTAAGAATAAAACAAGGGTTGAAGAGATGGCTCAGTAGTCCAGAACCGTTGCCACTCTCCCAGAGGACCCGGGTTTGGTTCCTGGCACCACACCAGGTAGTTCACAGCCTCCTGTAACTCCAGTTCCAGGGGATCTGATGCCCCTGACCTCCAAGGGCATCTATACTCATATGCACATACCCACACTCAGACATACACGTAACTAAAAATACTAAAAATAAATCTATTGATTTATTTATTGGAAAATAACAAACTGAAATCTTGTTCCAGGGGAGAAGACATTGCAATGAGCTAAGGAGGCCAAGGACAGCTCCAGGGAAGTTATAGTTGGAGTCTAGTCAGAAAAGACACATTGGAAACACAAAATATGAGTAAGGATGTCTAAAAAGAAGGTGGTTCTGGGAAGGAGAAACAGTGAAAAAACCATGGGCGGCAGAATGATCTTACCTGTTTGAAATGGCTGTCCAGAATTCCTTCCTTTTAGCTGGACCCCAGATTTCCTTAGGGATCTGCCTCTTTCTTAAGCAGCCACATGCATCAGAGACATCTGACTCCTCTCCCAGGTCTAAGCAAGGTCTGACCCTCTGGTCCAAAGACAAGGGCGTTGGTTTGGCAGTGGTCAGTTTGAAATTTGTGTGTGTCTTGATTCTGGCCAATGAGATGTGAGGAGTTTTGTAGGAGAATTTCTGGGAAGTTTTCTTTCTTTTTCTTTTTTTTAAATTAATTTATTCTTTCATATATTACATTCCCCCAAATAATAAGTCTTAAAAAATAAATAAAAATATTATTTTCCAGGCAGGCATGGTAATCCCAGTTCTTGGGAAGCTGAAGCAGAAAGTTTGCCTTGACACTCAATGCCAGCCTGGGCTACAGAACAAGACCCTGTCTCAAAACAGTAAAAATAAATAAATAAAGAGAGTTCTGGGCCTGGGAAGATAGTTCAGTGGGGAAAGGCCAAGCTTGATGACCAGAGTTTTATCCCTGGGACCTATGTGGTACCATTCTTGCCAAAGAAACCAAAGAACCTGAGCTGGATCCCCAAAACCCACATAAAAGTCATACACAGGAGCACACATGTGTGTAACGCCAGCATTCTTGTTGTCGATCAAGATGGGAGACAGAGACAGCAGAATCCCTGGAAGCTTGGCAAGCAGCTAGCTTGGCAAACGCAGCATGGCCATCAAGAGACCTTACCTCACACAAGATGGAAGGTGAAGATGAGGACCGATACCTCCACACACGTATCATGAGTGCACCTGCACTCACACATGTCAGAGCATACACATACCGATAGAAACAGCAGCTAAAAGATTTCTGAATGAACGTGCATGTTTTGTGGGAGGGGATGGAATGTTGTCTGAGGTACCTGGGGGTACAGATATGATGGCGTATTCTCGCCTGGCAGTACCATATTCAACCTGATGCTTTAGTCTACCTTCTCACGGCCACCGCCTTTTCCGAAATTTGTGTTAGTTTAAATCCTGGATGTACTGGTAATTGGCAGCTGAGCTCTCCCTACCTGGGTTCCCTGCAGCTACAGCAAATTGGCAGCAAAGTTCCCTTAGCAGCTGCTAATGGCTGATGATAGCATACAGCACGGTTCCATTTACCAGAGACAAACAAATGCAAACCTAGGTAGATCTCTAGATACCTCCTATGATGCGATGGCATAGAAAAACTCATGAAAAGACACAGGGAGGGTACTGACGCATGCCACATTTGGTGAAAGGGCAGGAGAGGGGTTCTCCATGCCACAGCTTGCATTTCTAACTGTAAGAATATACTTCTGCGTTATCTACTTAAATTTTAAAAAAAAATGAGCAATTAAAGAAATGTTAGGGTGTCCATTATGCAGAGAAACACAGAAAAGAGGCTGGAGAAGCCAGGAACAGAGTAGCAACAGAAAGTTGCATTCCCAGTTTCTGCAGCGGCCGGTGACTTTTAGCTGTTACTGCGTTTTTGTACCAGAACTCTTTATTCTTCTGGCTGTTTCACTGGAACATCTTGCTATGACTGAAAACCCTTGGGTCTTGTCTTAGCCAGTGTCCTATTGCTGTGAAGAGACACCATGATCGCGGTAACGCCTATAAAGGAAAGCATTTAATGGCGGTTTGCTCACAGTTTCAGAGGTTTAGTCCGTTTATTAGCATTGTGGGAAACACAGCAGCATGCAGGCCGACAGAGTGCTGGAGGAGCTGAGAGTCCTACATCTGTATCCACAGCGGCAGGGAGGAGAGAGAGCCTCTGAGCCTGGCTTGGGCCCTGGAAGCCTCAGCCAACCCTCAGTGACACGCTTCCTCCAACAAGGCCACACCTACTCCAACAAATGGTGCCACTCCCTAAGCATTCAAATATATGACCCGATGGGGACCATTCTTATTCAAACGACCACAGGCTTAAAAAACACACGCTGGCACCATCATCCGGCCCATGCGATCTTCTTAGTTTTGCCAATTTGACAATCAATTTTCCATGTTTGAATGTGTTAGGATTTTGACCATTTTATCTTCCCGGTTCCATATGACAAATTATTGGTTGAGTCAGGTGTTTTCTCACTTGGCCCTCCCTTTCCTGTAGATCATGCATCCAAGCTGTCATTATATGATGGATTCGTATAACAGGATTTTTGTTGTTGTTGTTTTAACAAATCTCACTTCCAACTTCTCCTATTTGTACAACCATACCAGATTTCCAGTCTTATTCCAGTACCTGGACAAACACACTCCTGTGGGAGACCCACTCCCACTTTTACCCCAGGGTGCTCTTGAGGAGGGAGAAGTGAGAAATATTTAGATAGAAGGATAGAAAGGAGAGAAACAGAAGCACAGGATGGCTCAGGAGGGCCTGGATCCTTATCCATCGGCCCCTTCTGGCTCTTCTAAAAGGCTTTTTAAAGGAATGCCAAGGGGCAGGGCAAAAGCCCTCCCCCTTGCTAGATCAAAGCATACTGCACATCCAAGTGCAGACCCTTCCAATCACCTGGTAACCACGCACATGGTCAAGCAATCCTCTAATGCAGCTCTGCTGGGTAAAGCAAGCTCAGATCTCACTAGGAAACCTTTGTGGGCCTCCACACACTCCCACATGTTTACACACACACACACACACACACACACACACACACACACACACACACAACCATTCAAGAATTATACTTTCTCTATAGATAGTCTGTGATTCATCCAAGGTATCCGAGATCTGACCTGAACATTAATACTTCAGCCTTATGTCTCCATGTTTCATCCCCAGGATCACATGTTTAAAGTTCTTTTTTCTATTCACTAAACACACTTTCTTTTCCCACTTCATGGATATTCAACACATTATTTTCTAAAGATTGTGTTATCTTCCAACTTTTTAAAATCTATTTCTTTGTATATGTTTGACTGTGAGTGTGTGCATGCTACCCATGTATGTAGAGGTCAGAGAACAATCTTGGATGTCAGTCCTCACCTTCTACCTTGCTTGAGACAGGGTCTCTTGTTGTTTGCGCCTGCATCTGTCAAGGCTAGCTGCTCTTGGAGCTCCTGTCTCCACTCCATCTGTTTGTAGGCACACACAGATTATAGATGCTCTGATGTGTCCTGTACTGCCTTACATGGGTTCTAAGGATCTGAACTTAGGTCTCCACATTTGCCCCCCATCTACTTTATCGGCCAAGTACATCTCAGAGTCTTTTATCTATTTTTATTTAACATATGGATTCATTGTTTGTGTCTGATGTTGATTATAATGTGTTAAAGGCAGAGTCCTGGCCTTAATCTTAATGTCATACCTTAACCCCTTGCCCATTCTACCCACCAATCATCATTATGATCATTGAAGAAGGCATTCTCAAATGGTGGGCTAATTGGCTAACTGAAAGACAAGAAAATTTCGTCATACCTTTATTATTTGTAAGAAGCATTGCTTATGCACTTCCAAAAGTAAAAGGATAAACAAAAGATTCTATATAGATGTACTTAAAATGCACATTGCATGAATCTGAGCTGGAATATATATATATATATATATATATATATATAGAGGTAGATGTTTTACTTAGTGCCAGTTCATTCATTCAGTAACATCTGTTGAATACAAAATGTGTGCTGCTAGGCCCTAGGGATATGGTACTGATTGCACTGACTAAAATCTCTTCCTTCATGTGGCTTGTATTCCAAAGGAAAAGACAGACAGTAAATGAAATATTATGCAATATCTTATGCAAATGGCTTGTTGAATTTAATAAACCAGAATAGGTGCTTAGGAAGTGTGGGAGGTACGTTGAGGGGGTGGTAGTAACAACTCAAAATAGAGTGTCCAGTATTTTCTCTTCTGGCATAGGAAAAAGTCAATATGTCCAAAGCATAACAGAATTAAGATCGGCTTGAATAGGTGTGCCTCAGAAAACACGGCTCGAAAAATTGTCTTTATGGTTTAATTTTAGTTCCTTTCAAACAAAGACTTCAAAATGGCATCTCAGGTTGATTTTTAGTTCAGTGAAGAATAGCTCTCATGCACATGCAGTTTGGAGTCAGTCCTTCTCCGGCTGGATCATTACCAAGATCCTAACAAGGAAAATGAAGAAATATAGATGCTTCAGGGACCGAGTAACAACTTACCTCCTATATCCAGCATGCTTCTCCAGAGTCCGCCAGTACCAGACTGAGAGCTAAGGATTTCTTGGTAAAGGAGCGTCACGTGCAGAAGGAATTCCGGGATTTATGTGGAAACTCAAGACATATCTTTTTACATTACCATATGAACAATTTGAACATGCAATAGAAACTCCTACAGGTTCACTCTCGAAAGGTTTGTGGTTCAAAAAGATTGTTTCTTCCCCTAAACTCAACATGGCTTCTTAGCAAACAAAGTAAAGCATTCTTTTCACAGTGCTGTGTAGTAAAAATCATTGTTAATGGAAACAACTTTTCAGCTTCACAATTTATTGTCTGTAATGTGACTTAAATAGCACAGCAGTCATTGGGATGTATCCTACAGTAAACAGAAGAGGAAATTGAGTCTCATTTACCTACAATGATACCAATAAGGGGTTGGTTGGGGGTGTGGCTCCCTTAGGAGAGTGCTTGCCTAGAAAGTACAAAAATCCTGGGTTCTGTCAGCAATGCAAACTGGGTGTGGTGGCTCATGCCTATAATCCCAGCACTTGGGAGGCAGAAGTAGTAGTCTCAGAAATTCAACATCTTTCTAGGCTACATAATAAGGTTGAGGTCAATCTAGGCTACATGAGACCTGTTTCAGGGTGTGTGTGTGTGTGTGTGTGTGTGCGTGTGTGTGTGTGTGTGTGTGTGTGCATGCATGTGCATGTGTGTGAATATGCGGTTATTCTGAAGTTAATGTGAAGTTATGTACTAGAACATGGCCCCATAATCATTGTACTGACTAATACTGAATCACGGCAAACTTCCATTGGAATAGGAGAACACAGGCAGTCTGTGGACAGTGAGGGCTAGAAGTGAGAGATGTATTAATGCTAACAAGAAAGAGACGGAGCCACATCCCCAACCCCTTATTGGTACCATTATAGCTAAATTAGACTCAATTTCCTCTTCTGTTTACTCTACGATGCATCCCAATGACTTCTATGCCATTTAAACCACATTGTAGACAGTAAATTGTGAAGCTGAAAAGTTGTTTTAGTGAACACTTTTTGAGAAAGCCCAAACAATCTGATTTCATAACCGGCTTAGGGTCTATATTCCCATTCCCCTGTGAGGGGCCACCAGGAGCTGTGGGTGGTGTTCCTGGGTGTGCATGCATGTGCATAATCAGAGATGAATGACAGAAAGCTAATAATGCTTCTCAGGATTTATCAAGGATCTTGTCTTGCTTTCTCTTTCCTCCAGCACTGCTGACCATGTAGAAAGATGTTTAGTTCTAGATAATTCTATAATGAGGCATGACATCACCAGACCACATAAATAGATACTATATATACAAGTAAAAATAGATTTAGCCAATTTCTTTTCTTAAAAAGGCACAGAAAATGCTTACCTGATATACATTAGTGTGAAGCCTATTTTGGGCTACCTCCTGGGCCATTTCAAACAGATTTTTCAATTAAGCTTCCCAGCAAACAATTTTCATTCATTTCTCCGGGAACTTTAGATACAGGCTAATGGGCAGGTGTGTCATGCTGGTGGTGCAGTTGGATATCTTCAAAACATGAAGACAAGGAAGCAAGCGTTTGTAAGCTGAAGTCACAGGCACAAAAGACATCTTGTTTTTCTATTAGTCTGAAGCAGAGTCTCAAATTACCCCACCTGACATGGTAAGGCTTATGATAAATACCTTGATGTAGTCAAATCCCCTTGCTAAGCAACAAAGTCCTGGGAGAATAGCTGAAATGCCTCATACGATTCTATATACAGTAAGCCTCCAATCTGTGTGTATAAAAGCAAAACCCGCGGTTTAAAACGAGTGCACCTGGACTTGGTAGCGCACGCCTTTAATCTTAGCCAGCTCTTGGAGAGATGGAGGCAGGCAGATCTGCGTGCAAGGCCACGAGGTTCCACATATAGAGTTCCAGCCATCCAGAGCTACTCAATGAGGCTTTGTCTCTGCCCCCCTGCCCACCCCAAAATAAACAGGAAAGTAAATAAATAATAAATAAAATAAAATAGTGCAGCAATTTAAGTAATGCCCTTTAGGCTAACTGTAGTATAGAAACTAAGACTTTTCCAAGGATTACCTATTTGTCTTTATTTTAGAGAAGGGTCTTCAAAATGTTGCTCAAGGGCTGGAGAGATGGCTCAGAGGTTAAGAGCACTGGTTACTCTTCCAGAGGTCCTGAGCTCAATTCTCAGCAACCGCATGATGGCTCACAACCATCTGTAATGAGGTCTGGTGCCCTCTTCTGGCCTGTGGGCACACATGCAAGCAGAACACTGTATACATAATAAATAAATAAATCTTTAAAGAAAATAAACAAAATGTTGCTCAAGCTGTCCTTGAACTTCAGGACTCAAATGATCCTTCTGCTTCAGCCTGCTGAACGGTGGGCCTGTGTTACCACATCCTGCTCGTCTGTTTATCTTTTTAAGACAGTCTCACAAAGCCCAGGTTGTCCCTGAACTCAATATATAGCTGAGGATGACCCTGAATTCCTGATCACCCTACCTCTACCTCCCCGGTGCTTCGATTATAGGTGTGTATAACGCTCCATCTAACCCCTGGTAGAATCATCTACCATGCCCCACTTTTTGAGGTGCTGGGACCAGACCCAGGGCTTCCCACCTGTTAAGAAAGTCCCCTACCTCCACCCCCAGCCCCCAGCTTATCTGCTTTTGAATGAGTGATTTTTTTTATTTTTTGTACTTTCCATCTTTCTAGTGGAAGGGATTTCCAGTGTAGGATCTGTTGAGTGTTTTACAGAGATGTGAAGGCTTTTCCTCACAGCGGTATTCTCAGCCCTGAGAATCTTGCCGTGACACACACGTTTGTGCCTGATGGTCGGGCCTGCCATTAGCTCTGTGGCAACATCCAGTTTCAACTCCGGTTAAGTCTTCTTGCCACTGCGACGGCCAAGCCCTTGCTCCTCTGTGGGTGCCCTCTTCTTTGCAAGTGATCTCTTCTGGCGATATCACATTAGTGATCGATTTTAATCCCTCAGGGACTGTTTTATTTCACCAGTGTAAGAAATGGGTGGGCTTTTACGAGGTCTCATCCCTTTGTCAAGAGAGAAGAATTAATAAAGAAATGTCAGGGGTCTGTCAAGATGGCTCAGTCATTAAGAGTGCCTGTTATTCTTAGAGCAGGCTGGGGTTTGGTTAATACCCATATTGGGTGGCTCACAATACCTGTAACTCCAGCTCCAGGTAATCCAACCTACCCTTCTGGCCTCGTTAAGCACTTGCATATATGTGTGAATACTTACACACAGACTCCCTTCCCCCAAACACAGAAAGAATAAAAATAAAATCTTAAAAAAGTAAGAAAAAAAAATCAAGGGCTGACATGGTGGCACATGCTGTAAATTGTGTACCTGGGAAGCAGAGACAGGAGGCAGTATGAATATTAACTTCAATGGCAGCCTGGACATACAGCAAAAGCCTGCCTCAAAACAAAACAAAACAAAAAAACAACCAAACAACAACAACAAAAAGCAAGGACTAGGAGTGCAAATAAGTGATGGAGAATACAAAAATCCTTGGATTGTTCAATCCCTTGATCCCTAACACCACAAAGAAACAAAAAATCAGCACTTAGGATTGTAGATTAGTTATTTAACATTTGGTTTCCATGCTCAAGGCCTTGGGTCCATCTCCAGCATCACATTCCCCTTCCCCCACGAGGTAGGTAAAATCCCAAGCAGAAGAAAGGTTAAACAGCTGTGTCTCTAAATCAGTTCTTCAGCCAAGGGTAAAGAGAACTGGAATTCTTTGGTGGCCTTGAGCAGCATTCCCAAGAAGATGGTGAAATGGACAGCCGAGGGCACCTTTAACAATCTCTGTGCCACCGTCCTGGTGAGGGATTTGTGTTCATCCTGCCGAGCGTTTTTATATCCCTGCTCTTGTGGATGGGGAGACAGTGTTAAGTATGGTGGCTGCATCTGAGCAAAGACTAGTTTTGTGAAGTTACTTCGCCCTCTTAAAAACGGAAGTGGAAACCAGCACTTGGGAGGCAGAGGCAGGCAGATAGTTCTCTGTGAGTTGGAGGCCTGCTTGGTTTACATAGTGAGTTCCAGGACAAACAGAGCTACATAGTGAGAGACCTTTTCTTAAAAAAATGAAAAGCCCCCCCCCAAAAAAAAAGAAGAGAGAGAGAGAGAGAGAGAGAGAGAGAGAAGAGAAGAGAAGAGAAGAGAAGAGAAGAGAAGAGAAGAGAAGAGAAGAGAAGAGAAGAGAAGAGAAGAGAAGAGAGATACTTTGGCCTTATAAACTGCTATTGTATTGATCGGAGGCCAGGTTTGCTTTGACTGAAAGCCAGAGTTGTGACAGTTCCCCCCCCCCCCAGAAAACAACAAAGACTCAGAGCGAATTTACATCTTCAAATTGTTTCAAGATCGTTAAGTAAGACATGGGATTAACCCCTGCCTGATGCGGATACCAGCTCTTCTTCCTGTCCGAAGGAAAAGGGGGCTAGTTGGTACCACCACTAGGCTTCTAGCCCTTCAGATTGATGCTGAACCCTAAGACTGAACTTCATATGGATTTTTAAAGAAAGCTTTCCTTCCTGGTTTACTCCTGAACCCTACAGACAGAATGGTAGGGAAAAAAGATTGGTTAGACATTTAGAATATTAGATGGATTGGACCCGTTAAACAGAAAATTGTGATGGACAAAGCTGAGCCAGGGGAGATGTAAAGGCGGCTATCGTTCAAAGTACGTGCTTAGCAGATTGACACATCCTTTACATTTCTTTTTCTTTTCAGTGCTGGAATTGAACCCAGAGCTCTGTATATGCTAGGCACTTCCATCGAGCTACAGCCCCCCATTTAATTTAATTCAATTTACAATGAGACTGAGTCTCCCTAAGTTGCTCAGGCAGGGTTTTGGAACTCACTCTGTAAGCAGGCTTACCTTGAAGTAGTGAGCTCAAACATGCTTTACATCCATCATTTTATCCAATTTTTACCTTATCAAGCAAGTTTTTTTTTTTTTTTTTGTGGCTTAGACAAATCTATCACTAACACCAAGGAAAGAAGTCATCACGTAGACCGTACCTATGGTAACACAATGCTGGCACCATGATGCAGAGATGCTAGCTCATGGCAAGGAGTGTTTTCTCTTACAAAAACAGGCCACTAGTCAGCATCCTCACTGGGCCTCCAGAGTACTGGGATCACAGGCACACACCACCACTTGGGGCATCATCTTCTTTTATTTATGCATTTATTGGCAGTGCTAGGAATGGGACCTTGTGCTCCCAGGCAAGCACTCTGTCCCTGAGCTGCATTCGAGCCTTCAACTTATTTTCTTGATGTTGATGAGTACCCCAGGGCTCATTTCTTGGTCTTTGTTTCTGTAGCTACATCACAGAGCTGATTTCAACTAATCCCAATGACTTTACATACCATCTACACGGGACAAGCTCCACATTTAAGTTCACTCCAGACACATATATACCGTATGGTCTACAGCTATTGTTTAAGTGTTTAACAAAGATCTCAATTTACTCTATCAAAGTCTAAAATATACCCCCAACCACCACCAACTGGTTCTTCCTCACTCTCTCCAATCTCAGCAAATGAAAACCCCCAGGACCACCAAGGACATTACTTTTTCTTACACCCAACCCATGAGCAATTCCTACTGAGTGTTTTATCTTCTACGACCTGACCGCTTCTTCCAATCACCCTGACTCCAGTCCAGGCCATCTTTCCTTTTTCATCCCGACTAGGCTAACCCTGTGTGCTCTTTTCTCATGCTGCGTGTGTATCACTTGCACAACTAACCGTAATCCTTTGGTCAGTAATGGTCTCATTCAGCCTCAGCTACAGTAGAGAGCCCCAGACCTTAGCGGGCACCAGCACCATCTGGAGGACTCCTTTAAGCAGGGAATCCTGGCTCTACCTCGAGGTTGCCGAAGCAGTTAAGTTTGGAGTGGAACTGGAGACTTCCCATCTCTAAGTTCCCAGGTGTGTCTTCCTCCTCTAGCAGGCATTCGTGGAGAACCCCCACCTTCCTGCTCTACCTTTTCCTCAACATGACAGGCATCTTGCTGACCGGGATCTTCACTGTTTTTGCCGTAGCCCTGGGCACTCATCCCTTGCGTTACTCAAGGTTCATGTTGATTCATCCCTGTTTAACTGATACCTCAAGAGGCCTTCCTGATCACTCCTCGCTCTACAGCAAGCCCTATCCTCACCGCAATTTATTCTTCTTCACAGTGGGGCATCCATCCTCGGCTTATTGTTTCTCTTATCACGTCCAGATCGGCAGCAGCCTGCTAAACTCAGCGACCCGCTTTGGCTCTGTCACGTCCCCCAACCTCTGCCAAGCAGGTGCTCATCTCACTCGCCCAAGGACCAGATTAGGGAACACCCAGGAAAGACCCCTTAGCTTCAGGCTTGAGACACCGGCCAGGCCGATTCATTTTTTTTTTTTTTTCTTGCCTCGGTTTCCCCCTTTGGAAAGGCAGCGCTGGGCCTGACCCCCTCACCCCACCCCCCGGGGGAGGGGAAGGCACTCAAAGAGGAGGACGTGCACACGCCCGTGAATCAGAGCAAGCCGTGCACAGGCGAGCGAGCGCCCTTCCTCCGCACGAACCCTCCCCAGCGCGGCCCATCCTCCAGCCTCGGTCCCGGGTCCCTTCGGGGGCGCTCGCCCGCTCGCCGGCTCGCCCGCC